CTCAATGCAGCATAATCGAAAACTTATATTACCTTGTGAAATTTGCCCAAACATGCATTTCTCGACTTCAGTGTAAAAGTGCCCTTTCTTCGACAGAACGTTGAAACAATTTCAAAATTTTGGTATAAGTAGAGGATCCCTGAGACTACAATCTGGTATAATTTGATCATAGTTTGTCATGAGAACTACAGAAGTACGACATTAGAAAAAATGTCGGCTTACGAAAGATCATGAAAAAGGTTTTTTGGTCCAATGAATCTTATACAGCTAGACATCCCCTAGCTTGCTCTATCGAATGGCGAAAACTCGAACTCTACAGATAACACCGTTTAAAAGTTATTCAAAAAATAGTGAAGGCTACTTTTAAAAAAATTCGATATTAGTGTCCGTATTGCTTGAGAAATACAACGTTACTTGTTTCACTTCTGAAATGTATCAACTCGTTGTTTTTATTTTTTTAGTTTTCTCAGTTGTTTTAATAGAAAGAAAATCTCCATAAATGATGTTAACTCAACAATGGTATGAACATTTGTTTATCTAGATAGATGAAAATCAAACGAACAATTATGAAAGAAATCAAATAAAAATCTCATGAAAAAAAATTCAATGAGATCGAAGCATTTATTTTGATTGTTTGTCTTCCTATTGATTAAATTTTCATTGTAAATCGTAGGAAAAAATGCTTGAATATATTGGCTTGTTAAGAAATTTTTGTCGTTTTTTTTGCTAAATTTATTTTTATTTTTTCAATACAAAGAATACAACTAGCTTTTAGCGATATATGCTCCATCACTATCTATGACTTGTCGCCAACGCTCTGGTAGAGAAAGGATCCCACTTTCGTAAAAGTCCTGCGACTTTTGGTCAAAGAAGTCGAGAAGTCCCATTTCTAGATCGTATTCGTCGTCGAACTTTTTCTCCTTCAGATAGTTAGAAAGAGAACGGAACAAGTGGTAGTCTGTAGGAGCCAAGTCTGGAGAATAAGGTGGATGTGGAACCGTAATCCATCCAAGCTCCAGTAATTTTTCACGAGTTAATTTTGCAACATGAGGTCTGGCATTGTCATGCAAAAAATAAATTTTATCCTGTTTTCCCTGAAGTTTGGCTGCAACTCGGTCTAATTGCTGGCAATAGAAGTCAGCAGTGATAGTGCGATTAGGTGGAAGAAGTTCCCAGTGAATAATTCCTCTTACTCCCCACCAAACGCTCAGCATAATCTTCTTTTGGTTAGAGTCATGTTTGGGCGTTGCTACACCTTTTTGTCCAGCTGCCAGCCACTGCCGCTTACGTGTATGGTTAACATATAACACCCACTTTTCATCGCCAGTAATAAGATTATTAAGCCATCGGTAGTTGCCGTGAGATGTCATTAATTCCATACAAGCATCAACTCTGTGTTGGAGCTGATGCGGTGACAAATCATGTGGTATCCAAACTCCATATTTGCACGTTTTGCCTAATTCGTGCAGATGTGTTGCCACTGTAACATGAGAGCACCCAAGGTGCTCTGCTAAACAACGTGTAGTTAATCTAGGATCATCTTCGATAAGTTCCTTTAGGCGATCGATATCCACCTCGAGTGGTCTTCCAGTATGAGGTAAATCATCGAGTCCAAAGTTACCGTTGTTGAACTGATTGAACCAACGTTGCGTTGTACGAATGGAGAGTGCATTCGTTCCCATCGTATGGCATATGTTACTTGTTGCTTCTCCTGTTTTGTGACCCAGACGAAATTCGTGAAGCAAAAGAAGTCGAAGCTCTCTACGAGATATATGCAATTCTAGTTCGCTATCAGCGTGTTTATCCATAGTTTTATTGTGGTTCGAGAGATATTTACACCGCCTTTATATACCCTTAATATGGAAATTTCCAGAACTTTCTGAACTGTTCTGGGAAAATACGAAAAAAACGACAAAAATTTCTTAACAAGCCAATAATATACTTGAAAATCCTATTGTCAATATAATGATGTGATTTGTGAAGAGTTATTTATGAATATCAATTAAAAATATAATCAGGTTATTTATAATCTTAATTAAGGATACGTTTAAGAGAAAGAGAGATTCGTTTCAAGATGGTTTTGATTGAATGATAATTCGTTAGAATAATCAACTTCTTAACAACATATTTAATATCAACTTTTTTTTTATAGATTAAACAGAATTCATATGAATTATTTTCGATATATTATTATAATATAGACTTTTTTTTCTTATTTTATAAATAAACAAAATAGGTTTTTATTATTTTATATTTTATGTTTATTATGAAATAGAAGTAACGTTCATTAAGATCCGGTTGACTGCCTTTTTGACTGACAGAATAGAGAAATGCATAGACACATATTGAGGTTTAATCATAGGTTAAGTCAGATACTAAATAAATGTGGCTGTGGAGTGTGAGGGTGTGGGTGTGGGTGCGGGTGAAAAGAAAAACAACACCCACACCCACACCCACACTCTTTATTCCCTCGACTGTAGGGAGGGTCATATGAAAAAAAATAGCTTGTGTGTGTGTCTGTGTGTCTGCGTCGGGGTCAAAAGAACATCAGGGTCAAAAAAACATCCGCTTGTGCATAAAACTTGACCAAAGGGTAATTGAGAGTGAGGAATTCGAACCCGAGGTTAGTTTTAACTAATTATTAACTAATTAGCTAATTAATTATTAATTATTAATTATTAATTAATCATTAACTCATGGTATTTTACATAAAACTTGACCAAAGGGTAATCGAGGGTGAGGAGTTCGAATCCGAGGTTAGTTTTAGATAATTATAAACTTATTATTAACCAATTATTAATTAGTCATTAATTAATAGTATTTCGTGTAAAACTTGACCAAAGGGTAATTGAGGGTGGGGAGTTCGAATCCGAGGTTAGTTTTAACTAATTATTAACTAATTAATTATTAATTAATTATTAGTTAATCATTAACTAATGGTATTTTACATAAAACTTGACCAAAGGGTAATCGAGGGTAGGGATTTCAAATCCGTGGTTAATTTTAATTAATTATTTATTATTTATTAACTAATCGTTAATTATTGGTGTTTTCCATAAAACTTTAACAAAAGGTAATCGAGGTCGGGGAATCCAAATCTGAAGGCAGTTTTGGAAATTTTTAATTGCGTTCTTTTGAGCTGAGGGGAAAATTTTTTTGAGAAAATAAAATTTCCTCGAGTATAGCAAGGTTATATGAAATAAAGTAAATTTTTGACTGTTTTTGTCAGAGTGAAAGGTGAAACGTCATAAAAATGTTGGCGAAGTGTTTCTTGCTCCTGCTTTTGATATGACTTTCAACCAATTCGGTTTTTCAGACTGAAAATTCAGTCAATCCGACGTGTGTGATACGTTTTCCCTTAATCAGCTGTTTCATAACTGTGTTTCCATGAATGAAACTTGTTTTTAGCTGAGTCTTTAACTGGTGATGCCTTGTGTAAGACTACTCTAGTTAGTCAGACATTCTGGGTCTTGAATTGGAGACAATATGAGTTCGTTGTTAGTAGTTAAAGAGTTGTAGCTTTCTTGAGAATACTGTCAGGCTTTAAGATATATCCTGATCGAAATTTTCGTCTAATAGTGGGGAAAGAAGGACATGATGGTGGGATATTCAACTTTTTTATTTTATATTTTTGTTAGAATCGTGATAAATATGCTTATAGCTGTTTTGGAAAAGCTTGCAAGTCTAGCAGTTTCCGAGGTAAGACCAATCTGGGATTTGATAGGGTTTAAGTGAAAAGATTTATGTCAGGGTAAAGTAAGATCAAAGGTGGCAGCAGCTAGTTGCGAATGGTGCCCCAAAGGGGCGCCGAGGAGCGTCTAGCTACTGTACTGGGTCGTCTGCAGAAATGCCGATTCAAAGTATTGGAATTCATTGAATAATCAACAATAGTCGAGGTTAAATGCGTCTGATTAAGCAATATCAGAAGGAAAAAGCTAAAAAAACTATTTCCAGTCAAGGATGAGAAACGACTTTTGTCTTTAGACACAATAGCTAAATAATTCATCGGACAAGAAACATCATTCGAAAAATTTATATTTGTTGTATCAGCAGTGGACATGAATGAAAAAAACTAGAGTTTCTCTTGGTATATGTTTTTGATTGTATTGATTCAAGTATTTGCATGTATGTTGATATATTCAAATTACCTGTCTAGTAAACAGTATCGTTAGTTCACGCGTTAGTAAGTGAGTGGATTTTTAGTAGAAGTTTTAAAGAGTATGGCACGTTTTCACAAAATTGTCACAAATGTTTTTTGTTTTATTGCCTCCCAGCAAACTGAATAAAAGCTCTTTTTGTTCGGTTACATGTGGGTATCCACGTCATAGTTTAGTTCGTTAGATTTTTATTGAGTATCAGTGTGAGGGTATCAAATTGATTGGATGTATTCGTGACAAAAATGATCATCAGGACTCACATACCATTGTGCACAACGCGATTGATGCTAATACAAACGTACAAACACCTACTCACTCTTTCGAAGTATTGGCTACTAGCTATGTTGAAGACTGTAAAGCGCTATAAAATATCAAAGGACTGAATATACAGTCGAGGGTCAAGCGAGTCACTCGGACGAGCGTTACTTGTAATTTGACTACAGTAGTTGACTTACATCGTAAATCTAATCAAGAGAAAAAAAGACAAATGAAACTATAACTAAAAACAATTAAGACGAAAATAACATGAATCGAAATGGGTGTGGATGTAGGTGTTGTTTTTCTTTTCACCCACATCCACCCAAAGAAGAATCTTTTACAGAACAGAAAAGTCTGCTGAAAAACAGAAACATCCGCTGCTGAAATATTTATATTTTGCTTTTTCTATAACTACTATTATACGTGATATTTCATTAGGTATGCAAAGTCCCAAATATTCTTAGCGAACTTTAGGTAAAGTTGACATTTTTTGGACCTTTGACATTGCTGCATTGTCCATTAGCTAACTAAGAAATAGGAAAAAAATCGAAGTTTTTATAGTTATTTATATTATAGTTCTGATGTTCAGCCAATATGTGGAGTTTGTGAAACTTTGCCATCCACGTTATAGAAAACACGAACACGATTGAATCCAAAATCTAACGTTACAGGCGAGTTATCTTGAACTTTCAGCACGTTGAAACCTAAAGTGAAGTGAAAAGAACAAAGACAATTGAAATGACATGTTGATTTTACTAATACAGAGAAATTCGTTTTTCTATATGTGTAGTGAAGCAAAACTTATGATAGCATTAAGATATCGTCTTACTTGGGTTTTCTCGTCTGATTTCTTCGACAGCCTCATCGACTGGTTTACCAACCAAAGCAGGCCATGATTTGTTTTCGAAATTTGGAAGTTGAATGTTGTTCCTTAAACACATTATGCAAACGAATTTTAATAAATCGAATATTCACTTATCACTCTAATAGTAATACTTTAACTGTTAAGCGTTTTAGTATGTAAATTTTTCAAAAATCTTTTCTTATCGTTACAATCAAATGGCACCTACAACAAAAACATTCAATCAGATAACTATCGAATTTTAAAACTTTATTGAGTTGTATTTCAACTACTAAACAATAACTCGAAACTTTTCGTGTCCTGATGCAGGTGCCTATGGCTATTTTATTCAATCACACACTCACTCATAGACTTCTCAGGCACGGTTATAAGGTGGTTCTAGTGTGTTTCACATTGTAGTCCAGAAAAGGTTTCAGTGAAAGCTTTGTCATGCTGTAATTTCATTGAAAATTGGCTTCGATATAAATTAAATAGGATCATCTAACGTAGTATAATTGAATTATTGTTCGATCTAGGATATAACAAAAAGCAAAGATAGAAAAGACTATATCCATGAAAAACAATTAGAGGATGTCTGTATTTGAACGCGCTTTTTTCTCACTAAAACCACAAACAAGCGGTTCAAAAAAGGGTAATTTGCGATACGTTCCATTAGTAGTAAAACACATTTTATTCTCTACCAAAGTCTTTTTCCCTCGACTGAAAGGAGGGTCATATGAAAAAAAATAGTTTGCTTGCTTGTCGCAGGTCAAAAGAACATATATGAGAGGTCAGCTTATTTTAAGACTTTTCGCCATTTTGACAAAACTTTGCGATAGGTTATCGAGGGCCCGGAATCCGAATTCGAAATCCTTTTTGTTGGCCGAGCTTTCATTGGTCAGCAACCGGCCAATCAGAAACAAGATTTTTTGATTTTAAGGCTTTCGATGTTTTGATTAAACTTTGCTATAGGATATCCATGGCCTAGAATCCGAATCCGAAATCCTTTTTGTTGGCGGAGCTTTCATTGGTCAGGAACCGGCCAATCAGAAACGAGATTTTTATTTTAAGGCTTTTCGCCATTTTGACAAAACTTTGCGATAGGTTATCGAGGGCCCGGAATCCGAATTCGAAATCCTTTTTGTTGGCTGAGCTTTCATTGGTCAGCAACCGGCCAATCAGAAACGAGATTTTTTTGATTTTAAGGCTTTCGATGTTTTGATTGAACTTTACTATAGGTTATCCATGGCCTAGAATCCGAATCCGAAATCCTTTTTGTTGGCGGAGCTTTCATTGGTCAGGAACCGGCCAATCAGAAACGAGATTTTTATTTTAAGGCTTTTCGCCATTTTGACAAAACTCTGCTATAGGTTATCGAGAGCCCGGAATCCGAATTCGAAATCCTTTCTGTTGGTCGAGCTATCATTGGTCAGGAACCGGCCAATCAGAAACGACCTTTTTTATTCTAAGACTTTTCGCAGCTTTGATGGAACTTTGCTATAGGTTATCGATGGGCCGGAATCCGAATCCGAAGTCGTGTTCTTTGACCGAGCTTCCATTGGTTCGAAACTGAGCCAATGAAAAGCTAGCTTTTTTATTGTAGGACTTTTTGCGTGTTTTAGTGGAGCTTTGACAGAGGTTATCAGGGGCCAAGAATGCAAATTCGTTATCGGTTTTGAAAATCCCAAACTTTTAGTTAAGACAGTTAATGCTAGTTAAGCTGGGTTTGGATTAGTTAAGGGTAGTTAAGGATAGTTAAGTGCAGTTAAGTGTAATTGAAACCAATTATAAATTCAGTTTAGTGAAGTTAGTGGCATATGGAAATAGTTAAATAAGTGTGTCTGCGTTTGCATGCTATCAGATGCTCCGATATATTCCTGGAACGCCGGGTAAACTATGGATACAGCCTATGATATGAACGCTATTGTGAGCTAAGTACACTTTTTCTTAGTTATTTCTTATTCAATGGCGTTTCTCGATGCTGGGAATTTCAGCTAAGCAAATATTCCTCTAAGTTTGTTCCGTTCAATAAAGTTTCTCTTGCTTCGAGTTTAACAAAATAGATATTTTGGTTATGAGAGTGTCGTTCCGGTGATATTTTCTTCTTTGGCTACTCAGTATTCAGGTGTTTAGCGTATCATGGTGTCGCCCAATCCTTTTTTCTGTGGTTGACATATCAGCTTATAAGCGTTTTTTGGTATTTGTGTTTCGTCTTAGCAGTTTTCGATACCGAATTTATAGGCAACAATGGATTTTTTTCAGAAATAACTTTGATTCAATCGAAGATTTCATGCCTAGAAGTGAGCTAAGTATATGAAGTCACTTGTCATGTTTCTTCTGTGTTGAGTTTTGCTTCGTTAAGGATGAGCAATCAATCCCATGTCCGCGGTGATATGTCAGAAGCGTTCATATAGCGTATTTTATTCGTGCACAGTTTCATGTTAGCTTTAGTGTTTTCAATTTCCAAGCAAGAGTCCTGTCACTAATAATCCAATATTTTCGATGAAAGGAGGGAAAGTACTATTTGGACCGATTGTAGATAAAAGGGGATAATGTGTATAGGAGTAGGTTTAGCATGGGAGCGGCTAGCCGTGAGTGGCGTCCCGAAGGGGCGCCGACGAACGAGTAGCTGTTGATATCCACGTGTCACTGCAAATGTGTGGCAGGAAAGATGTGTACAGAATATAGTGTATGTTTTGAGAATATCTCACTAAGATTCCGCCGAATAAGAATGGCAATATAACAGTGATTGTCGCGAGAGAGCTCGAATTCTGCAAATAAGGAATACTTCACGACAAAATCTTCTCATATAAATCCAACAATTTATCGAAATAAGCCGAATCTGAATCGGCTAGATTGTAGAAAAAGTGGGTGATCATTGGTGAAATAGACTTAAGCACGTAACAGGTTAGTCGTAAGTGGTGCTGACGAACGACTAGCCATTCACGTGAAGAGTTGAACGATTGAACGCTTAAGACGATTGTGATTCATAAAAAAATCCTCTACTGAATGGATTCGATCGATTAAAACAATGTCCGAGTGGCGCAAACTGGAAAAAAGTTTTGTTCCAATTGAAGTCTACGAAGCAGTTGTGCTAAGAAAGCAAATCATCTGACTTTTTTTTTTTGCGAAAAATATCGTTTAATTTATTTCTACGTACTAAAGTAGTTTTCTTGTTCTCTGTACTGAAGGAAGGATGACATAGAAAAATGAGTTAGCTTCCTTGTTCTAAGCAATCAGTTGCGTCTCCACAATCATATTTCATGGGCGTCGCTGCAGGACACTCTTTCCTTAGATAGTTGAACAGCTACCCTAGTGTATTAAATTTTCATTTGAGAAGTCTGGCGCTATTTGTCGAAGAATTTTTAGCAGCAAGACAAAAATGTATCGGTTGGATTGTAAATGAAAGTATGCGATCCATTGGAGAAGAAGAATTAAACAACTGAGCGGCTAACTGTGAGTGATGCCCCGGAGGAGCGCCGACAAACGACTAGCCGCTCGTCGAAAAGGTTAATTGCAGATATGTTTTGAAAAACAGCCGTATAAGATCTAGCAAGCTTCTTGAGTAGATCCCAATTAGATTTCGTTCATGAAGAATTATAGAATAACGCTGATGTTCCAGTAAGACCCTAAAACTCAAGACATAATACTTCACAGCAAAATGTTGTGTTTGAAATTTCCTCTCGAGAAGTCGTCTATGTATAAATACAAAAATAGTAGGTACTGAATTGTCTGTATTGTTGAAAAAAATAGATGAATTTTTAGGAGGGAGATTTAAGCCTGTGAGCGGCTAGTCGTGAGTGGCACCCCGATGGCGAGCCGACGAACGACTGGTCGCTTATTTCAAAAGTTGCTGGAAAGAAGGTTTCAAGCTACTAGAATAAATAGAAAAATTTTCTATCAAATCAGTCTGCTCGGATGGATTAGGGTCCGAGAACGACAGAAAACTGAAGTCTTTTTTTTTCAAAAATAACTCTCGGAAATAATTTTTGTGTAGACGCACAGTATCTCATAAGCGCACTTCGTAGAAAAAGAATCTGAGTATTTTTATTAATGCTGTGTTCGTGCGCGTGAAAGAACAAATTTTTGAGTGGTTTAACGCAAAGAGTGATCATTGTGAAAATCGAATTTAGGATAACTGAAATACATAGACAATATCAACTTTCTTCTACGTTCATTTTCAATACGAAATCTATACAAAATAACAGTTAATAACCGCTTCCAGGTTATTTTCTATCTTAAATTAGAAATACTGAGTATTTTTCTGTATGGTTAGAGTCTGTGTCAGATCTACAATAGTATAAGAAACAAACTGTCTACTTGAAATGAAAATCGCAAGATATACAATGG